GAATATAAAAGGAGAAAAAAACCCCTCCTGTCAGAGATGGATTTGCAACCTCACACTCCCGTTCTTTTCTAGCATTGCCCAAGTGTTTAATCCACTTTTCTTTGTGAGTAGCAGTGCTAAGTGTTGCACTGAGTCCCCTGCTGTTGATATTATGGAGCAGATGGACACACAGACAGACTGATGCTTCAAAGACTGTCCTGAGAGATGGTCACCCCTTGAGTTCAGGCTCAGGGCTGCTCTCCCTTCATGGTTTCCTTGCCCATGACCAGGATCAGCTGGAGCAGGGAAGGACAGTGCTGGGTTACAAGCCCAGGAGTTCAGGTTGTGTAATCCCCTGGAAATGGGAGTGCTGTGGGCAGATGTGATGTGTGGCTGTTATGATGGACATCAACTACCCCACTGTCCACTTTCTGTAGCCAGAAGAGAAAGACAATTTCCTGGTACGTTATCACCCCCATCTTTATTCCAGTGAAGATGGGATTGGGATGCTCATGGCAACTCCATCCAGTGGGTGATATCCCTGCCCATGGCAGGTGCTTGGAACCAAATGTTCCTTAGGATCCCTTCCAACACAAAGCATTCTGTGAGTCTGTACTTGCTGCTGAGTTCTCTGCCTTGTTGTACCCTCCCCCAAGCCCTGTGGTCCCCTCCGTGCCAGCACTGCTGTCCCAAGGAAGGGTTACCCTCCTGACCACGTGTGTTCATCCAGACAGCCTGTGCTGTGTCTCACCTGACCTGAATTACTGTGTGTGAATTCTGTGTGGGCCGAGGGTGAAAATCTAACCCACATTCCCTTTCTGCTCGCTCTAGGAAAAAAACCAACAAGCCAACAAAAAACAAACCACCCAGATTCTTACAAATTGCTCTGCAGGGATTATTTTACCTTTTTATAACTTAATTTGATTTTACCCCTGACACAATGTTACTGTTTTTGACAGTTAAACTTTCCAGTCTGCTTGTTCCATATATTTTAATATCCTGTTACCTCTGGCAGGGAAGAGCTAAAACTTTGTGCCAGATACTGAAGGTGATGGGGGAAGAGATTTTTTTTTAAATTTTCATAAAAATTAGAACTACTAACCTCTATCTGAGGCAACACGACTTCCTAAGCAACTACTGGCAATAGTTAGCTGAGCAAAAAATTGGAAAATCAAAGTGAACAGCTCACTTCCACACACTCCCTGCCCCTTTCCTACACAGAAAAATGCAGATTACTTAAGAGGAGCTCTGTTGTCCTTCCATTCCAAGGCAATGTGTCAGCAATGGGTGACAGAACCTGATTACTGGGAAGCACTTGTCCCCCCCACTTGTCCCACACAGTATTCCACGTTGTTAAGCTGTGAGTTGCCTCCAAGATTCTCACCCTCCAAAAGACAGGGCTAAATACATGTTTTGGGGCAGTCACATCAAGAGGGGTGGGGAGGGAATAGATCTTAATGTCCAGATTATGACAATCATGGTTCATTCTTTGGAAGAAATGCAGTCTGGGCAGGCTGAGGTCATGGTTGTACAGGCAGGTAGTGAGCAATTTGCCACACTCTTTTTTTTTAAAGTCAAATACATAATGCTCAATATTTCATATGCAGCAACAGAAAAAAATATCCATGTGATTTCCTGAATAAGTTGTTTGGATGTTTCACAGATGGTGTTAGAAAGGAGACATTGGAACCATTTCCCTAATGCAATTTCATTACTAGAAATTTTAAGAACATCCCATCTCAATTTACTGCTGCCTCTCAGATACAACTCTTCATTTAGTTACTTGAAACTAGTTTATTCAAGTATGCAGAGACTCTGGGACATTGGCACAGCAATGTCAGATGCTATCTGGGAAATAAGTAGTACATTTGCAGGCTCTGAAAGTAATTTTTGATGACACCCTTAAATCAACTTCATGGTCAGTTTTCTCATTTTGAGCAAGAACTGGGATTCCATTGTGATAACTGAAAGCTGCATGTTACTTGATCTACAGTAATGTAGAATAATTACTAGTCCATTGCACTTCATTACACTACTGTAATAGGCAGCAGGTCAGTGTTTGAGCTACAGCTGCTCTGAAAATTGAGCTGACACTGATACTATGGTAGAAGTGATAGCAAAAGGCTCTCATGCAAATTGCTGAAATTAGCTCCCACTCAATGGGTTTTGAAATGCAATACATGGCTCTGATCCGGACACCTGCCTTTGACTAACATTTTTTTTCTTTTTGGATACAATGGAATGGTCATGAAATAAATTAATTGTTATAAGGCAGTCTGCCTTCTAAAAGGTCACTGAAATGCCAGAGGATTCTAAATACCACGTAACTGGTGAACTCTGACTAATAACATTCCCTAACACATCACTGGAGACTATCTGTTGATGGTTTTACTTTATTGGAATGATTCTCACGATCATTTGCAAGCGTTCTGCTCCTGATATTCACAGGACCTTTCATGGCATAAGACACTGCTCCTTTTGATCCATGCACTTTATCCATCAAGCCTTCAGGAGAGGGCAGTAGGCAGAGGCTGAATAACGAGGTGCTTTCCTGTAACAGCTGGAATCTGGGAATTCATCTGGCTGCTGCACTGCAGGATCCCCCATGCAGCCAGTCCTTTAGCCAGGCATGGGATGATTCTTGCTTCAAGTCAAACCTTTCTACGAGGTCCCCCAAGAGCACTCAGGCTAACACACCACTGAAACACCTCTTACTGCTATTCAAAAATAGATGTGGGTGTTTCTAAGGAAAATGAAATATTTCTCCTCTGAAACATTCATTTAATCAAACCATCCATTTCAATAAGTCGAGCTCTGCTGGAAAACAACTGTCCACACAGACACCCCACATCTCCACTCTAGGGAAAGCCTACCAATGCTCACAAAGAAAGACAAACTTGACACATGTGGAGAAAGAAATGTTGTCATACCTCTGGAGAAAAGTGAAGTGTTTCATAGAAAGACCATAAACATTGCCCTTGCTATTCCTCTGTGATGTTTTCCTCCCTGCAGCCTGCCCAGCCACACACTGTGTGTCTCCCACAGAAACTTCAGAGTTCCCCCTCTCTGTGACAGTGACCTGGGGAGTCCCCCTCTGGCCCTGAAGAGCCTTCAATCAAGTTGGGGGATCCCCAGCAGGCACCTTCCTTTTTTTCTGAGCTAAGACACTACAGTAACTGTTCTCTTTCTGCCTCTGGCCTTTGTTGTTCAGTGTGCTTTAGACAGGTCTCTTTTTTTCTCAAAAGATGCCTCAGATCGAAAAGAAATCCCTTGACACCTGCCAACACATCTTTGATGAATAACCATCCTGCTTTTTGTATGAGGTGGAATAATTTAAAATGGTGCATTTGCTGAAAATATTCTCTTGACATTTGTATTTACCAGCTCCAGTACTTACTCAAAGAGATATTGTGAACGTAGACCCAGACATTTGCAATCTTACCTCATTAATGCACTGTGAACTGCCTATAGATTGAGCAGTTGTCTGTATCTTTCCTAACCTCTTGGGGGATTATTGCTAGAATTGACTACCACTGTTTGTTTGAACTCTTTATAAATTAATAAAAAAATCAATACCTGGTTGTAAATGCCAGCTAATCACAAATAGCTTTGTACAAATTAGAACGGGGATATAAGAAGAAAGTAAATGGACAATGCCTGTGAGGGTGAAAAAGTCAACACTCAAAGTTCATCTGCTACCTGAGTGATTCCAGATACATTCAGCCTGTTCCTGTGGTTTTGTTATTCATGAGAGATGGAAGTGGAGGAGCAGAGCTAAGCAAACACAGCCCACGCTCTATGGGCAATGAATACAAAGAGCCACTGAGCCATGAGAGTAGGAACTCTATCAGACAGAACTGGGATGCTGGAAAATTCATCAGCTGGATTTTAAAATGGAAAAAAAGAGTCCTTTTTAAAAACTGATTTCTGGATAAATATCTGGGAAGGAATTATCTGTCAGATCCAGGCTCATTGTTTTTCTACCTCAGCAAACACTGCTCTGGTTTACCTGTGCTCACTTGATACAGCTGTGCCAGCCACAGCATCCATGGGGTGGGACTCACACTTACTAGAGTTAATAGAAGATTGATGTATTGCCCCCAAAAGTTACAGAGGTATCTGTGACACAGGAAAACCTTTCTTTTCCTGTGTATAAAGCAATTCTGTGTAAAGGGGTATTCCCTACTTTTATAATGATCAAAAGAATGGCAACCAGAGAGAAAAGGGAAATGTATCCCATCATCAGCTTTGCTCCATCTGATTCAAAGAGATCCCATGGATCTGTCAGGACATTTGCTGCAGTTTTGTAAGAAAGGTTAAGTGTGTGCAGCCAAATCCACAGAGCTCTGGGTGAGAGAGCAGCCCAGGACTTCTGCATCACACACACTGACCTTCCTGCAGGTGGGACCCTCCTGGAATAGCAGATCAGCTGTCATTTCCCAGACAAGACTTGCACTGTTTTATTAATTCTTCTGATTGATGCAGATTTATACTCTAAAAATCCTTCAAAGAGGGTTTTGTTTGTTTGTTTGGGTTTTGTTTTGTTTGCTTGGGGGTTTTGTTTGGTTGTCTTTTGTGTGTGTGATTTGTTTTCCGGTGTTTCCACGGTGGTAAAATACTGTCTGAACAGCTCTGGGAGCTCTTGTGCAAGACTTGCATGAAACTTCAGTTCACCTGCTTTAAGCTGTGAAAAGCAGCTGCGAATTTTCTGTACTCTTTTTTTCTCTGAGTTCTAGAAGTTCTTAAATAAGCTCAGAATGACATGATGTAGAGTTTTTCTTGTTCCACAATCAGCTTTGTTTTTGCTTAATGCAAGCCTAAAACACACAGAAAAATCATATGAATTAGCTGTCATGAAATTCAGCTAAACAAAACCAATATGGAGTTTGACCAAGGTGAGTTGAAAATAAAAATGTAACGGAAGCGTAGGTACAAAGAGCAGATACACTTGAAAATAAACATTTCATACCAGGTTGTATTTTTATGACATCCTGAAGTCAAATAATGCACTTTGTATGGAATTCTGTAACAATCAGTATTTATTTTCTTGAATTTTAAATGGTACATAGAAGACCCTGCAAGCACATCCAGAAAACTCCTCTTTTGGATAAATTGTTGTTTTCATGTACTCCTTTTTCTCACAGTAGCCATCCTTTCGGTGTGTTTGTTCTCATTTCAAATTACCAGTTGAGCCTTTCATCTACAATACGAGGGACATTACCAAGGCATTAGTAGTTAAGCTGCTCTGTTAATTACAGCCAGGCTCCTCTTTTTCCTGCCTCCCAGTTCAGCAGCACCAACGGTGCCAAGTGGCTCTGCACCTGCTCTGCCTCAGCAGCTCCTGTTCACACACAAATCTCTGCTCTCTGAGATCTCCAGGAGCTCTTCTAACTGCTGGACAGGTGGAGGACCTGCCAAGGTCCCCAGCATTTGGCCACAGGGGCTGAACTCAGCATCCATTCAAATGGAGATCCCTGAAAAGCCGTGCCCGTCTGTGCCACCTCCTCACGCCTTCTCCAGGTACATCCCAAATCCCCAAAGGGGCATGATTGTATTTCCTGAGCTGTTCTCTCTTTCTTTCCTTAGAATATCCAGCTTTTGTTTAGACCATGGTCTGGCATTTCTGCAAAACTGATATTTCTGCAAAATATATAACCCTAACACTGTTCCTCATGCTTGCAGGCAACCAGCACTTCATTCAAGTATATGCAAAATTAAGTAGTTTTCCATTTACATCACAATGCATTTACCTACATCAAATTTCAACATAATTTTTTTTACCCTATCACTCTACTGCTGCTAAGGCCCCTTGTCAGTTTGTCACAATTAACCTGCATGTTTACTGCCCTGGATAATCTCAGTATCCTCAGAAGGTTTCACTAGGACAGAATTGCTTATTGGTGACTGCAGGGTCACCCCCAGACACTCTGGGAACCAGGGAGGCCCCTGAGCTGGGATCCAGCAGCCCTGAAGGCAGGCACTTGTTGCTGCTCCACCCACCCTGAAGTTTGTTCAGGTGAGAAATCTGCCAAAGCTCAGGATATCACATTCACTAGAGTATCCATAGTTAAGAGATTGGGAATTTTGTACAGTACTGCCACCTCCAGTATTTGGAAGACTTGGATAAGCCAAGATAAAGCCTTCACCTGTGTAATGAGTATTTGGGGTTATTGCTTTTGTAAACTCCAAATATTTCTTATGCAAGCAACAATGCAATTGTCTGCAAATCACATCTGGACTTTCCAGATTCCCTCAGTGATATCAGTATCATTACATACAACTGTGTTTCCTTAGTTTTGTTTATACTTTTAAAGAAAGCTCTCACAAAGTGAAAAAAAAAATATGAACAAACACTAATCTTTCAGGGCCAAACGATAGCTAAGGAAAAAAAACAAAGCCAATTTATTTTTCCCTTCTGTAATTCTGTTTGTGAATAGAATGTAAATCAAGTTAGCTGGATAATTTGCTAAAACCCATGGATGCAATAATTCTTATGTTGTTCTAACAGAGAAAGAAAGTAGAAAATGTTACAGGGAGAGACAATATGCAATTATGTATGAATACTAACACCCTAAGGGACAAATTACCAACAATGACAGTAAAATACTGCAGATTTCTTTTTGTGCTACAGTATAATTGACTTATACTCTGACAAGAAGAAACAGCTTAGCTTTGGAGAAAAATTTGAAAATACAAATTATGTATTTGCTGGAAAGTATATAGACTCTTTGTTTTTCCACTTTGCTTTACCTAGGATATTGACTGCATTATTTTATTTTTAACTTACACATGTGACTTTATTTCAGAAGACCTCATTTTTTTTAATCTGCTCAAGAAATCATTAATCTTTCTTAATGGTATTAATTATGCGACTTCAATTACTTAATCAAACTTAGTCAATACATTCAATGCAAACACTTTTAAAATCACATGTGGGAAACCTCTTTGTTGTTTAAGTGAAGGAGAAATAAATCTTTCTGTAATGACTCACATGAGCTGAGCCTCGAGGGGCTGTTCCCATCCATCAACACCACACCTTGTAGAATCTGCTGCCTGGTGTGGGACAGCAGCAGTTGATGTGACCTGATAAGCAGCAATCTGCAAACACCAATGTTGGGGCAGAATAAGGGCCTTAATTTGAATTTTATTGTTCACCTCAAGGAGGATTAAAGAAACATAGTCAAGCTTGGTTGCTCAGCATCCAGGGTACTTTTTTGAGTCATATTTGCAAGGTCCATATGACTAGTTTTCAGGTTTCCCCACCACCACCTCCTGCATAAATACTCTGATTTTATGTTTCTGTAGGGTGGTTAAGGATTTGAGACAGATGTTCCCAAACAACTTTATATTTTACATTTAGAGATGTGATGCTTTCACAGATGCTGAGTACCTGGATGTGACCACAAGTAAGGTCTCCAAACTACTCAATAAAATGGGCAACACTGGCAAAGACACAGCAGTTTTGCTTGCAAATCAATGACACAGTATCTTGGAATACCTTGAGTTGGTAAAGGACCCATAAGGACCATCAAGTCCAGTGCCCTGCTCCACACAGGACCAGCTACAACTAAATCATGTGACTCAGAGCATTGTGCAGACACTGCAGGAGCTCTGACAGGCTTTGTGACAACACCATTTCCCTGAGGGGCCTGTTCCAGTGACTGATCAACCTCTAAGAAAGGAACCTTTTCCTGATGTCCAATCTGAACTTCCCCTGACGCAGCCCCGTTCCATCTGCTCGTGTCCTGTTGTTGGTCAGCACAGACAGGACATCAGCACCTCCCTCTCCACTGCCTGCCTGGACAAAGGGGCACCAAAGATGGGTCAACCCTCAGCCTTCCCTCCTCCAGGCTGCACAGGCTGAGGGACCTCAGCTGCCCCTCACGAGTCGTGCCCTCCAGACCCTTCCCCAGCTTGGCTGCTCTCTCTGGACACACTCTGACAGTCTGCTGTCCTCACATTGGGGTGCCCAGAACCGCACACAGGACTCGAGGGGAGGCTGCAGCAGCACAGAGGTGAGCAGGACAATCCCCCCCTGGACAATGCTGTGCTTGATGCCCCCCAGCACAGGCTTGGCCCTTTTGGCTGCCAGGGCACACTCTTGGCTCATATTCAACTTGCCATCGACCAGGACCCCCTCATCTGCAGGGCTGCTCTCCAGCTTCTCATTCCTAGTTGAGATGTGTTCCCTGGATTACTCCATCCCAGGTGGAGAATAAGGCACTTGATCTTATTAAATTTCCCATGGCTGGTGATTGCCCAGCTCTCTGGTCCATCCAGATCTCTCTGTAAGACCCTCAAGGGAGTCCACAGCTCCTCTTACTTTAGCATCATTAGCAAACTTATTTAATGTACATTTGACTCCTGTATCCAGACCATTTAAAAGAACATTTAAGAACCCAGCCACAAAATTGAGCCCCTGGGAGACCCCACTATTTCATGGCCCCCAGCCTGACATAACTCCATTTACTATAAACCTTTGAGCCCAATCCAACAGCCAATAGTTCACTCATCATACGATGGGCTTCTCTAGCTGTGAGCAGCAGATTCATACCAGGACAGAGCCAGGTTTGCCTTTTCTGTCTCCTTGGTATTTCCAAGGACAGTATCTTTCTAAAGGGTGGAAGAAGAAAGGTAAACATATTTTACACTGTTAAAGACAATTAAGCTCAAATTAACTAGAAAGGTTTTGAACTGCAAAATGAGGAACTACATTATGTAATATCCAAAGGAAAATGGAAATTAGGAGGGCTTAGTCTAACCTAGGGAGGCACAAACCATTGAATGTAGCACTGTGCTGTACAAGGAGGAACCCTGCCTCAGAGGAGTCCTTATATGAATTAATGCTGCCTCCTGATTAATCATCCTGACCACTCCTGATCATCACTGTGGTGGAGAAAAATGAGAGTTTGCACAAAATATCCCTTTGAATCATTCTGTCAGCAAAATTTGCAGCAGAGTTATTGATGATATCTTATTCACCATCTGAAGCTCTTGTAAAACTATTCAAGTCAGAACTGAAAAACATACAAACATCTGAGAGAAAATGAATGGATAAGCAAAGAGTTCTCTTAATACTCCCCACTAGTGAGTATGATATATAACTATGATTGAATAGTCTCACTGCCTTTTTTAGATGATCTGACAGCCTTACTACTTTTTAAAAGTACTAATGAACTAGTGCAGATATTACATCTTCTCAAGCCTGCTACCACAAACACCAGTGGGTAAACTAGAGGGAGTGCATGGATTGATCTACCTGCAGAAAAGGGACCAAAATGGGACTTTGGGTTAGTGGAAAATGTGAGGCAGCAATGTTTCAGGTTCCTCTTTGAGGACGGGAAGGGGAAGGTTGTCACTGAATAAATATAATATCTGATCACACGGCAAAGATATATTTTGCTCTAAAAAGACAGAGATGCTGCAGACACAGTCCTATGCATATTCCCCTTCTTCTGCACAGTCACAGTGGGTGGGTGGTACTTTCCAATCTGTTTCAGATGAACAATATTTGTAGACACTGTGGTTTCAGATGGAATTAAAAATAAAGTGCATGAAGGCACTGACCAAACGTATCTGAGACCTGAATTGATGTGGACTCTGTTCTACTTGACCTAAACCATCAATCACACCTGGTCCTGGACCTCACAGTGCTCTCCTTCATATATCCTTAGGGATTGCTCCACTGAATTCCACAGTCAGAGCAACTGAAAAAATATTTCAGATCTGAAGATGTCTGTCAGCTGCAGAGCATCCCATGCTCAAAAGATTTCTGTGAGCACCCAAATACTTCTGTGAGCACCTTGCACAAACAGCAGGTACTTTGTCCTGCTCCCAGTCAGACCATTACTCTACTGTGTAATGTACCTCCAAGTGTGGCTGGGAAGTAACAAAGCTTTGAAATTATATCAGCAATTTGGTTGCACATCTATATCTATGAGTGGTCTGAACACTGGAACAGCTTCCCTGCTCTCTGAAGAACACGAGAGCTTGGTCAGTCAAATTCATCTCATTTCTTCTCTTTCTTCCACCAGTGATTGGACTTTTAATGGGTTAAAGAGGTTGGGAGAGGTTTTACAGGCAAGAAGTGAGCAAAGTTATAGCTGCTCTTGCCTATGAAGACACTAAGCCTTTTCTCCCTTGGCTTGGGTACCCAGTTTTTGTCAATATATTCTCTTCCTCAGGCACGGAGGAGAGAGATTTTAGCCCGATAGAAGCAGACCCAGCATCAGAGAGCAGATTAGAGCCAAGAAGAAAGTGATAGAGGTGACTTCTTCAGAACATAAGTAGTTCTCCTGTAACACTTAAGCCCTTATCAGGTTCAGGAGCCTTCTCTCTGCCTTTGACCTTAAGCCCCAACGAGATAAGATTTGATGACTGTCCCCATGGCTAAGCAAGATGTTTACCTGTTACATTACATATGCACTGCATATACATTCTCCTGAGCTCAAAATGGTTACACAAATGCTAATAATCAATTAAAGTCTCACAGGTCCTGAGATTAGGAAGGGTTATTATCTTCATTTTACAGATAGGAAAAAAAGCTTGGAAAGGTTGCATGATTTTTTCCAGAGGTCACTTGGGTTGTGATGTACAAAGGGTTCCTGAATATCAAGGCTGTTCATAAGGATTCCCACACTTCAGTGCTGAGGCCTGGGACAACCTCTGATCAGGAGTTGAACTGATCTTTTAATATGCTGCACACCAAGCTCTGAGTCAGAAGATTAATGCTGATTTAGTTATATCCAACATGTTTAGTATCATTTCATAGTCTAACACTGATGAGTGTCTGAAACTTCTGTTTTTCCATCCTCTTACTTTTGTGAGACATTAAAATCTCCTTACCACCTGGTTAAACTGGCAAATATCAGCTTAAACACCTGTGTTCCTGATATATCTATTAATATCACAGCATGCAGCACATGCCAGGTGCATTACTTTGAGAGGCTTGGGATAGGGATTCAGTCTAAAATGATGCTGGTCTCATTAAGAACCATGTTTTCCTCTTTCTCACTGTGTTCCTCTAATCTTCTTACAAGGCAAACAAGCCAGGTGTTTTCTGAGTACTTGTGAAAATACTGTACTTTGAATTAAGCTTCAGATATTTATAGGCTGAGTTTTGTGCAATTGTGGTGTTGTTTGTGTGATGCAGAGTTGAAGTGGGCCATCTGAGAACAAAATACTGCCCTTCCCCTCCTTCACATGACCCAAAGAGTAATAAAGGTTTTGTGAAGGCTCATAAGTCACTTCAAACACCCTCTGAGAGCAGCAGTGCAGCCATTTAGTAACTCTCAGTTGCATCTTAAGAAATACTTTTCAATTATACAGGCTGTACTTCCACACTTATCTAATTTTAGGGGAAATATGCAAAGACTCTGAGGTGGGAAGGAGTTACATGGGAAACAAAGCTTATGTGGAGGACTTGTCACTCCAGAATGAAGTTCAAGGCTGTCCCAAAGTTGTGTGAATACTGTGCTAAGTCTCTCATTTTAGAAACATTGTTGGATAACAGGAGCAGATTCCAGACTAATACAGCTGCATACCCCTCTATCACACAGCTGCCAATTCCTAGCGAATTCTGCAATATAGTGACAGTAATGGAAAGCAAAATGATCTCTAAATAATGGTTTAAGATGGTTACTTGATAAAGGGCACTGCAATAATTATGATCAATGGAGCATGGACTCAATATATATTGCCCATTTAGATGCACCAGATTAGCTTAACAGCTTTCTTTAATGTTCTGAGTATTTTGTGTGTGTGTGTGTGTGTGTGGTTGTGGATGTGTATATGAGAGGGACAGCACTGCACATTTTGGTGTATTCCTCATTATTAAATATTTACCAATGCAGATGAGCACCAATGCATGGAAAAGTGAAATGTGAAAGTTAGACTGTCAGTTGCAAAGACAAAGCATAAAGAGTTATGGGGGGTTTTCTATATACAATAATTTTGTGTTCTTAGTGCCAATAATTGCAGAAATAATATTTGTATGTTTAAAAAATAACACACAGAGAAGGTGATAGAAAAAATGTTCAGCTGGACTGAGTGCTTCTTTGTTCCTGCAGACATACTGAAACAGGATGAAGGTTTGAGAAGAACCAGAGCAGGTGCTGGGTTTTGACTCACGTGAGGAGGGTCTAGGGATGCCCTGCGGATTCCCAGGTTCCTGGGAATTGTATTTCTTCACAAAATACAAGGTTCTGAAATAAACCTCACTGCTAATTTTCAAAGCCCAGAAGAGGTGATTAAATTATAATCTCTAGGACAGTTTCACTGCCTAAATATTTTGCCCACTGAACTTCCTGGATGGTCATCCCTCAGCTCCAGCCTTACATGGAGCTGACAGCAGGGTTGTATCAGGAGGTATAACGTGCTTTGGTCAAACATGTGACCTTATTTACACAAATCTGCTGCAAGAGCTCTCTCTGCTCCTCACTGGCCATGCCAGCACTGGCCATGCCAGTGCAGTCTGAGTGCCTCTCATGTTTTAAAAACATGCAGAACATTGTTATTGATAATTTTGCTTCAGAAACCGAGGCACAAGTGGGATGAAATTTTCCCAGAAACATGCAGGCAACAAATGGCTGAGTTCCCACCTTCAGACTCAGCCCTAACCACTGGCATGTCCTGCCTCTTACTGTGCATTGAAATAAGTGCCAGACGAGGGTTGGTTTCAAACTGAAGAAGGACATAAGTCTGACTCATAGCTTTGACAAATTTAGGACTGTATTTTGACAGGGCATAGAAGTGCAATGGCAGATGTCACAGACAGTATTAGACCTCAGCAACTAAAGAAGCAAGGCTATTTTTGAATCGTAGAATGAGTGCAAATCTATCTATGAATGCTATAGATATGAATATGTATACATATATGAACGTATATATATGAAATAAACCCCAAACAAACAAAAAGCCCAAACCAAAACCAACCCAGACTCCCACACTAAGGTTTTGGAGATTTCATTTGATTTTGTTTTTTTTTCTGTGCCCGTTTTTGTTTGATCAGGCCATATTAAAAACTGCTGCATCAAACCTTGAGTGGCTCCTTAAGGTGTCCTGCTTGGCAAGAATCCTTATGAGGTGTATTTTTCCATGTTTTGTGGTGTGTAGAAAGGAAAACTCTGCCAGCTGTTCCTGGGCAGCCACCCCCTGTGCAGGGATGCCCTGGGGGGCACCACCACCAGCCTCATCTGCCTGATCCTCTGCTCAGGGGGAGAAGCAACTCTCAAAATGCAGCGAGTCCTGTCCTAAAGGGGATGTAATTCCTCGTGTAGATCAGGGTCATGACAGAGGACCAATAAAATGATTTAGTTTCAAAGGTACTAAAGGGTATGATTTGGATGAACCCTGATGCTGTATTTAGAGAACCCAGTCAGGCACAAGCCTCTCATGGCATTCACTACAAAATAATGGGCAAAGGAAATGAATATTAGATGCAGAGCTCTAAGTGTAGCACCACACGCTGGCTCTGTTTTGTGAAAAACCATGGCAATTGGTGAAATGATAGTAATGTGTGATATACAAATATTTTGGGTGAAATATATAATCAGTTAATTGGTTTATTAAATTATAAAACTTTTGTTTGCTTGAAAGAGCAATAAAACTAACTGACTAAATGAATATTCGTCCCTTTGAAGACTTCTTACATTAATTATGTTTATGCATCACTTGCAGCAGTAATGTTAGACAAAGGAAGCTTTATCTTTATATGCCATAGCTACATTGTATTGTGGTACAAATGATGGCACCGACTTTGTGTCTACATAATTACTGAAATCTTATCCCTTTTGTGTTTGCACATCATTTTCAGTTTTTTGGAATAGTTAAACTCCATTTTACTTTTTAATAACATTTTAGAAATCATTCTGATTCAGGTAAACAGAATTTGATTGCTTTGATGGATTGAAAATGGTTAGCTCAGCCAGAGCTTATTTGATTTGTTTCTTCAGGGATTACAAAGAATAGGATTTTATCTATGAACTGACAAAAGAGGCAATCTCTGCATTTTTGCCTATGAAATAGCAGATCCACTAAGCCATTGCTCCTTCACATAGTGAATGTATTAGTCATGGGGTTGCTTTTTATTCATTTTCAAAGTTTTTATTCCACATTGTATGGGGTGTCAAGCTCCTTTGTTCTTAAAAAAACTAATCTGGAAAAATAATACCGTCAAATGGAGGTTGGGGAGAGTCAGTAGCCCATTAGATTTAAAGCAGATTTTAAAAACAAACAAACTCCCTCTCCCCAGTAAGGGACATCTTAGACAAACGCTCTTCAACTAATGCCGTGGATTTAAAAGCCTGAAGTACCTGAATGCTGATTACCTGACAAAGTTCAGGCACAGAGTTCTCCCTTGGCTTTCCCCAGAGCTCAGTCCCTGACCCAGCCAGATTACGTGGTTTTCCTGGTACTGCTCTTCATTTTATCCTGTGTGACATGACATTTGCAAAGCAGACAGCATCAGGAAAATGTCAATATAGGGCACAGAGATGATACAAGACACCCTGAATAATGTGTTTGGGATTGTTCTCTCGCTGGCTGGAGCATTCTCTGAGTTCTCTTCAGAGAGGCTGCCCTGCCTGGGGCCCTGGGCCTGCTGGGTTTGCTTCATGGCTCAAGAGTTTGTTGATATGCAGAAAAGCATGGAACAATTTTTCAGGGAATTTGTAATTTACAAGCTTGGTGTTTGTCTCACACTGTCTCGGCCAAGTATTGCTGCAGATAATAATAATAAATACATTTCTATCCAAGAACCCTTCATTTTTTTTTTTGGACTCTTTTTCTCTTTATTCCTGTTTGGAGTAGTGAATAGAGGTGTTCAGTCATTCAATGAGTAAAGTGCTTAAGTACGTATTCAATTTTCAATAATTACTCATTTCTTTTAAAGAGAAGTTTTTGCAGGCTGGGACCTTGTCTCCTGACTGTTTCCAGATTTCATCCTCATACTCTGACTATTGGAACACAACAGGGTTTCCTGTGTGTGCTTTAAAGCTCAATTAAGTTCTAGATCCTATACAGCCTACTCTCAGAAGAGGCCCTTAACATAATAATGGGATGTTCTTTCTCAAAATTTCCATCTATGGCCAGACATGACGGGAAATGTCCAGCATGTTACTTCTGTATTATCCCTGCTAAATGTTTTAGATTTCAAGTGTGTATTTGAAGACCAGCTAGAGAAATCAGGTTTGATCCATTTTCTCCTTTGATTTACATTATCTGAAGATTTGGCCCAGCATGAGATAGTTTCTCTTCCCTTTAATACACAGATATAGAAAAAAACTACTGATTCAGGTAACTTAGGTTCTGGAAGACAGCTTTGGGGAGTATGGATACAAGCTGCTCTAGGAAAGGTCAGCTGTACCAGCATGTGTGTACCCTGCACCCACAGCCCCAACTTTAATAACTCCTTGTCTCCTAACACCACCAGAGATGACACAGGATGGTGTGTGGTTCAGAAATGAATGCAAGGAGTCCCAATATACCCAGAGCTGTTATGATGCTGCTGTGGATTTTATTTTAAACAGGAATGCTGTCTTTCCAAGGTTAAACATAAATTACTTATTTTAACTTTTTTTTTTTTTTTTCAGAAGAATACTCATTTTTGTGGTTATGGAAGAGGCAATTGTTTTATATACCTCATTTTTATAATTAGGTGCCTTCTTATGCTGATTTATGACTTATTTTAGCTTCAACTGGTCTGTCTTTCTGACAGCAAAAATGATAATCCATACTCCCATGGAAGCTTCAAAGAAATGCTGATAATCTCCTGTGCCTGATCCCGAGACCTGGCAGCAGAAAACTGGAGGAGGAAAACAATGTGCTGAGCAGCACCAGTGAGAACCTCCCCAGAGCAGCGGGGCAGCACTCAGCCCCCAGACAGCACCTCTGACACTGAACTTCTCCCAAAGCTGTGGATGAACCTTGGGCTTCCCCGCTGTTACAGGACTCAGCAGAGGCTGCTGTGGGTGTCAGAGGAGGAGAGAAGCCTCACTGTGCCCTTCAGCACTTCCCCACACAACCCCATTCACAGGCAGGGAAAGGGGCACCACAGCAGAGTTAAAGCCAATCTCCCTCTCGAAGCAACAGGCTCCCTCCCACACTTTGTGCTGTTTTACAAGGCCAGGTGAGCTCGTTCAGGAACATCAGACAGTTCCCTGCCAGTGCTCTGAACTCCCTCAGCTTTAACCCAAGATCTGAGTTGCAAACGTCTTGGGCTTAATCCTGTATTTAATTAAGTGAAGGTCAGGAGGAGGGTCAACTAGACTAGTGAACTTAATCCAAGACCCAAAGGTTATACAATAGCTGCTTTGGGGAGGTATAATTGTAGATAGGAATTGAGAGAAGAAAAGACAATATAACTGAACAAGTTATATGATAAAGGAGGAGGGGAACATTTTTTTTTCAGAATCAAATTTTTTTCAGACTGTGTGGCACTGGATGTATTTTACATGAATAGCCACTAGATAGCAGAACAGGCATGATGCTCTGAGAGTTTCCTGGGCCAAATGCAGGAGAAACAATGCCTTGGTCCCAGCAAATACAGCATGTGTGGCTGTGTTCAGCTGGTACCACTGTTTCACAGAAGGATTTTTAAGATGCTGGTCCATTGTGCCGCTTCCTGCTGCTCTGCTCTGAGCAGTTTTCTCCCCAGCATGCTGAAAGAGGAGTTTATTTCCAGAACAAGCAATCAACCCTGACTTTTGCTCTAGGGAAGACTTTCTGAATGAGTGAGCTGATCATCTGCCCAAGTCAGGGGAGCCCCAGCCCTGCCTGCCTGATAGCCAGCGGAGTCCCCACGAGCTGGCCATGGGAGACTGGAGACAGGGACAGGACACTATTGTGGCCCCCTGGCACTCACCAGGTTTTAACTGGGAGCTGCTGATGTCCCAGACACTGAACTAAGAAAACCTTCTTCTGTCTCTCTTCCCCTGCAGCACACTGCAGTTGGTGCCCTTTAGAGGCTGCAGGGAGGAGCTCTGTGCCCTTCAGGGACTGGCCCAAGGGCCCCTGGCAGCAATAGCATCCTGTGATGTGCCCCCAGAACTGCCCAGTTAACACCCAAATGCTGCTCTGGGCAGATCTCTGCTGCTGGCCTTGGTACTAGGTGACACTGGGCAAGCCTCAAAGGGTCATAACTTTAAGGTGGCTCTTGAGGGGAAAGGGGGCAGTTCACTGCAATCAAACTTCATGAGGTTCTTTTATTGCTGGCCCA